GACACAAACCTTACACTTTTTGCAAAAATTAACTCAAATAGATAATATATTTATATGTAAAATGAAAAACCCAAGAAAGATAATAACATAAGATAGCCTTGAATTTGGCATTGACTTTTTAAAAATATTTTTTTAGTTGTAGATGGACATAATATCTTTATTTTTATTTATTTATTTTTATGTGGTGCTGAGGATCAAACCCAGAGCCTCACATATGCAAGGCAAGTGCTCTACCAGTGAGCTACAACCACAGCGTTTGGCATTGACTTTTTACATACAACATCAAAGGAACAATTCATGAAAGAAAACAATTCATCAAAATTAAAAATTTCTGCTCTGAGAAAGACAAAATAACATGACAAGCCATAGACTGGAAGAAAATATTTATAATAAAAGACTTATCTGATATAGGTCTGATATACAAACATTCAAAGAACTCTAAAATAAGAAAACAATTTCATTTAAAAATGGGCCAAAAGATTGAGTAAATTACATTATATGTATGAATATGACATAATGAATCCCACTATTATGTGTAATCATAATACACCAATAAAAAGAAATGAACCAGATTTTAACAGACACCTTACTTAAGAAGATACACAGATGCTGAGTACAGTGGCACATACCTATAATCCTGAGGCAGGATGATCATAGGTTTCAGGCTAGCCTCAGCAACTCAGAGAGAGACCCTGGCTCCAAAGGGATTAAGGATATATAGTTCAGTGGTAAAGGGTGTCCTGAGTTCAATCCCCAGTACCAAAAGAAAAAAAAAAAGGAAGGTTGGGGTTGTACCTCAATGGTAGAGCACTTATCTTGCATGCGCGAGGCACTGGGTTCAATCCTCAGTACCACATAAAAATAAATAAATAAAATAAAGCTATTGTGTCCATCCATAACTAAAAAAAAATATTTTTAAAAAGAGGGGAGGAGGAGAAAAGGAAGGAAGAGAAGGAGAAGAGGAAGATGAAGAGAAAGAAGAGCAGGAGGAGGAGGAAAATAATGAAAAGAGAGGAGGGAAAGGAGGAGGAGGAGGAGGAAGAACAAAAACAACAGATGGCAAATAATTATGCAAAAAAATGCTCAACATCATATATCATCAGGGAAATTAATACAATTACTACAACAAGATATCACTACATATAATCTATTAGATGACCAAAATCCAGAACACTCACAATACCAAATGCTAGTGATGACTTGAAGAAACAGCTACTCTCATTCATTGATAACTGCCAAATGCAGTTGTAGCCACTTGATGCAAAATGGTATAGCCACTTTGGAAGATAGTTTCACAGTTGCTTATGAAACTATATGTTTTCTTACTATCTAATCCAGCAATAGTGCTTCTTTTTTTAATATTTATTTTTTAGTTGTAGTTGGACACAATACCTTTATTTCACTTATTTATATTTATGTGGTGCTGAGGATCGAACCCAGGGTCTCACATGTGTGAGGCAAGCGCTCTACCGCTGAGACACAACCCCAGGCCACAATAGTGCTTCTTGATATTTACCCAAAAGAGCTGAAAACTTATGTCCACACAAAAACCTGCACATAAATGTTTACAATGGCTTTATTCATAATTGCCCAAATTTGAAAGCAACCAAGACATCCTTCAATAGTTAAATAAACCAGTACATCTAGATAATGGAATATTATTTGATACCAAAAGGAAATGAGCTATCAAGTCATAAAATGATGTGAAGGAAATTTAAATGCACGTTACTAAGTGAACAAAGCCAATACCATACTATTACAGCTATATGAAACTCTGAAGAAGGTAAAACTATAGGGATCATAAAAAGATTAGTAGTAGCCAGGAGGAGAGAAAGAACAACAAAAAGAGCTCAGAGGATTTTTAGGGCAGTGAAAAAATATGTGTGTATGAATTCTTTATATTGTAATATACTATATTATCCACCCTTTTATATATACAATTGTCTAAACCCATAAAATGTACAATACAAAAGTAAACCCCACTGAGTAACCCAAAAGTTTTCTATAGTAAACTATGGATTTGAAGTGATAATGATATGTCAGTGTAGGTTCATCAATAGTAACAAATGCACTGCTCTGGTAGGGAATGTTGATAATGAGGGAGGCTGTGTATGACAGGGAAGGCAATATGTGGAATGTCTCTAAATGCATATATTTTTAAATTTTCCTGTGAACTTAAAACTGCTCAAATAAAGGGTTTAGAAAACCAGGAGGAAAATAATTTAAGGGGCTAGGGTTGTGGCTCAGTGATAAAGTGCTTGCCTAGCATGTGTGAGGCCCTGGGCTCAATTCTCAGCACCACATATGAATAAATAAAATGGTCCACTTACAACTAAAAAATATATATTTAAAAAAATAATTTATTTAATTTAATAATTTAATTTAATTGCCAGTATCAATTCAGGATTCTAGACATGTACCAAATTTTATTAAAACTAAAATGGAATTCCATTTTTTATATAGGTACTTATGGCTCCTGAGGTATTGTAGAATTACTAGTGATTCAAAGTCAAAGGACAGAAGTTGTTTAAATCTTGTAATAGTACTGCAAATAAAATTGGACTTATTAAAAAGAAAAACAGTCATGAATTGAGACACAGCATAAGAGATCATTAAAATGGATAAGTGACAATAAGTAGTATATCACTGTCAAACATTTACTTAAGGAAAAAAAAGACTTTAACAGAATACGGAGGCAATTATCCCCTTTGCACAGGATTTCAATGCAAAGAAACTGATAAAGGATGAAGATAATATAGTCACAAATGGAGAAAAAGAAGAAACACAACTAAATGGTTATGTAGAGATTTACCTCTGAACAATGATGTTACTAAACAGAAAAGCTGAACAAGTTTAAGGCTCCACTTATTAGGGACAATTTAGAGACTATCAACTTTGTGTGGAACTATCAAACCTAAAAATAGGTGGTTTAGTTTAGAAACGATTAAAACACTCAACCACATTTGTAAAAACCAAGTAAAATTGAAGAGTTGAGCTTGATTCAATAAAGTATTGCAGGTTTCATCCAGAATGATTCAGAGAGATCCAAGAAACTAATCTGGTGAAGTAGCACAGGGAAGGTTCCCCAAAATAAAATACAGGATAAAATGGTAAGGACTTCATGGGATAGGGTCAACGAAAGAAAGATATTAATAATGAGAGATTTTCAGGAGCTGAGGAAATCCAGGCTGTTCAGTGCAGAAAAGACTGAAAAAAAAAAAAAAAAAAAAAGATAAATGAGAATGGAGGGAATCTGAGAAAAGGCATAACATGAATTCTGAGAAAGGGGATTGATTTATTTAAAGGAGCAAGATTTAGGATCCAGGCTAAACTCATCATAAAATATCAAAAACTGAACATCAATTTAAGACAAACTAATCCTATAATAGAGGGTACCTCTATTCATATACTGTTTCCTTATACATTTTAATTCTTTAATTAGGGTCATTCAGTATTAAATCTCCATGCTGCTAGGAAAGCAAAAACAGTTCAGTCCCATAAAAATGTTCTCAAAAGAATCCAGATTCCAAAGCAATCTCAGTAAAAGGAAGATGTAAGGCATAAGTATGCAGAAGGCTTAAATTAAAAAGAGAACACACTCAAAGACTATCTCATTGAAATAGAGACCAGAAGATTAAAAAACCTATCCATTTTTGAAAAATGAAGAATTCTGAAGGATAGGGTATCATGTGGTTATAAGCAGATAGGAAAAAAAAAAACATTTTAGGTTGATAATAGGAAAAATAAAGTAGAAGTAAAGGAGAGCACTAATATCCAGTGGTCTCCAACTTACTTATAAAAGGCACTAATTGATCTTTAAGCTTTATTACATAAATCCTGAATAAAGTACAGCCAAAAGAAGCAGGAGAACCTCCTAAAGGGGCTGCAGAGCTGTCTCCTGCTTCACTGAAGCATCTCCTCAGGGTCAAACAAATCAAAGGTCAGTGAAGATAAACTGTCCAGGCCAAGCTGATGCTGGGAGTAGAACAAATATCCTGGGATCTGTGCACTTTTGAAAAGGGCTCCAGCTGCACCTGTTTGTGGCCTCAACATCACTGAGTTGAGAACAACTCAAGAGAAATAGGGAAAAGGAGAAAAGGGAGAAAAATTAAAAAAACATCTTTTTCTCTATTCTTTCTCCTCTAATTCTTTTTCTAGTAATGACAATGGATGCTAATCTATTTACTATCTTCCTGATTTGCCATGTTGTGGTAAAGCTAAGTTTAAACTAAATATAACTACTAAATAGATTTATAATTTTATTATGATCATACTCTAATCAACTGACCAAACTGGGAGAGAAACTTGTATAATCAGAAAGCTTAGGGCAAAATGAAATGATCATCTTTATTTAATTTTGATTCATATCAAACACTTTAATATTTGTAGTATCACAATGTTTCATTAAATAGTTATTACAAAGATGAACACAAACTAGCAATGATTTCAGGGTTTTATATGACTATGACTAGACTGACATCAGAAAAAACTTATTTGACCTTGTAGTAAAAACATAGGGACCTGAGTAGTAAAGTGGACTTTCAAAACTGAAAATGGCCAGAATTATACTCTGAAACTCAAGTAGTAAGAATACATAAAAGAGCAGTATATTCTTTTAAAACCATCTTGTAGTATGATTTGAAGTCAACTTCCTTAATGTGATTTTTTTAACATCCAAAGAAACCTCAGAGGTATTTTATGATTGATTTTTTTAATAAAGCAAATTTTACCACAGCAGATTCAGTACAATACTTTCTAAAGCAATAGTGACTCTGCTAAATTCACTCTCTCATCCTTACCTTGAAAAGGAATTCTCAAAATCCAATTAGTCTAAGCAATCACACATCTCTATTACTACTAACTGTGATAAAATTTTCAAGAAAAAAATTCTCAGCATGTTTATACCTAGCAGATACCAGAAAATGTAGTCAAGGTTCAAGAATACTAAACTATAAATTATCATACAACTTATAAATTGTGTATCATCCAAAGCAGCTTACCTTGTAGTTTTTTCAAAACAGCAACCTCCATTTTCAGAACTTGTTTTGGTTGTTGAGCTGATTCCACTTTCAGTGCAACATTTTCCCTGGTGAGCATGTCCAAGGCATCGTAAATTTCTCCAAAGCCCCCACCCCCAATTTTTCTCAACTGCACAGAAAATAAAATAAGAATAAACTCAAAATTATGAGAAGATTCTAACTGGGAACAAATTCAGATCTCTTATTTAGAAAAAATATATATAATTTAACAATCCCCATTTTATGATAAAATATTCAGTACTGTTAAATTAACTATGTATATGGCAAAAAGAAATCAAAAGCCTGAAAATAACATCAAAACCTTTTTCCAAGGGTCTTCCTCAAAAAGTAATGAAATTATTTCAGTCACAAACAATTTGAAAACTTGATCTATAGGCAGCAGCAGAAAAGTCACAAAAAATATAATATCTGAAAGAATCAACTTCCACAAATGCCACTCAGATTTATTATTTTAAAAAAACTCTAAAACAGTCATCTGCACACTTTTTAAACCATAAAATCTTTTTGCCAATTGATATCTCACTTTGAACCAATCTAGTGTATGCGTACAGGGGAGGTCAGAAGATGGAGCCAGCACCCATCCCTCTCACCACTATTGACTCTTCTCTGAGGCAACTAACAGGCTCCACAAAGCAGGCAGAGAACTACTCTGAAGAATCCCAGAGTTATGCATCTACACATTCAAATAAGAGTAAGTTGTAATTGATTGAAGTACTTTCATGAAATATTTAATATTTTTCTAATAAGATGAAAAATTAACTGGGAAACATCATGATTTTGTATTGGTATCATAAACAATTTCTGATGAGCTAGAGACAACTAGACCTATAAGGTTCTAAAGAAAATGGAGTAGGTGATGTATTTCAAGTTAGATAGCATGAAATCAGTCATCTTCCATTTCTTGACCCTAGATTGTCTTTTCCTTATATTTTCAAATCCCTAGGATGTGATATAACACAGGAAGCCATCACCAGAAGCATGGGGTCTTAAATCCTAATCCCTCAAGAGGCCCCATGTCATGTCCTACTTATTTCTCCATTGAATTTTCATTGATTATTATACCTAGGCTAATTTCTTTCTCATCTGAATTTCTATGAGAATAATTTGTTTAGTCATGCAATTAATCATTTTATCAGTCCACAACTCAAAAATTATTATTGTGTATTATTCTACTACTTTTTAACTCATGTTGCTTAACTTTCTATTGTCAATGTCCCACCCCACTACAGAAAAAGTTTCAAAGAGAGAGTCATTTATCTTACTTCTTTTAAGTCCTATAGCATTTTGGAAAAGTCCCAGTTACATAGTTATTGCTTAATAACTATTTAATATTTTGCATGTTTGAGTCATAATTGATATTCATTTTGGTTTGATGTAAGGAAGGAAATATTTTGAGGAACTATAGGATGAGCTTGAGTTAAAAAATAAGCTTCAGAACTATTCAATTAAATATGTTGCTGTTTGTTGGGCCATGATTACTGCTTAAGATTCTATATATTTTGTCCATTAAACAAAGCCTAGAGTAACTTGAAAAACTCAAAAATAAGCTGGACATAGTGGTGCACATCTGTAGTCCCAGCTGCTCAGAAGGATGGGGCAGGAGGAAAGAGTTCAGAAGTTCACAGCCAAACTGGTCAACATAATGAGACCCTGGCTCAAAACAATAACAAAATTCACAAATAGTTCCAAAGGGATGTCCTTCTAATTATGGATAGATGAGGGGGTGGCTTATTGTTTTACCTCACAAAACCTTACCAAATGACAGAATTTTTAAAAATAAAAAATTAGACTTTAGTAAATGTTTTTGCCATTAGTTTATTCTTATACTGCCACTTGAGTATAAATAAAGCATTAGTGAATAAGACAAACATTATTACCCTATATACATGTACTACACGACTAGTGTGGCTCTGCATCATGTACAGCTGTAGGAGTGAGAAGTTGTGCTCCATTTGTGTACAATGTGTCAACCTGCATTCTATTGTCATGTATAACTAATTAGAACAAATGAAAAAATAAAATAAATAAAGCATTAGTATTTTTTAAATTATCTTGACAAAACCCTAAGACATTATCAATGCTTCTGAGGCTAAGGGACAGAGGCAGTTTAGTAGATGGGGATACACAGATTAAAGATGACTACTACTGTATCTCTGTCCAATTCTTACTCTTCTTCAGTGTGAAGAAGGCCTTTCATATTAAAAAAGAAAATGTGACATTGCCATTCTCCCATCAAGAGATAGATTCTATTTTCCCACCTCCTTAAATCTGGGTGAATTTTGTAAGTGATTTAACCAACAAAACAGAGGAGAGGAACACTGTGCCAATTCTGAGGACAACCCTTAACTACCTAGTAGCTTCTGCTTCCTGTCTTTTGAAAACAAGTCACAATAAAAAAAAAAAAAAAAAGGGTCTCTCAAAAATAGAAAGGAAACCCATAGAGTAGAGGAAGGGGACTGAGAGGGAGAAAGGAGAGTAAAAAGAGGTTTAGGGGGAAAAAAATCAAATAAATTATGCAATGTCCATGCATGAATATACCACAATGAATTCCACTTTCATGTAAAATTATAATGCACTAATTTTAAAAAAAATAATAGAAGGGACACCAGTAAAGTAGATGAAGGGGATCAGGGTGAGGAAGGAAAGGAGGGAAAAGGGAGGTACTGGGGAAGGAAAGTGATAGAATAATGTTATATGCACGTATGAGTATGTCACAATGAACCCCACTATTATGTATTATAATGCACCAATAAAAACCATATTTTAAAAACACAGCTACAAAATAATGCATGTGACCATCTTTAGAAGTCACAGACATAGCCACATTCAGGCTCTGTGGTGCATGCCTATAATCCCAGCAGCTCAGGAGGCTGAGGCAGAAGGATCATGAGTTCAAAGCCAGCCTCAGCAACTTAGCAAGGTCCTAAGAAACTCAGTGAGATCCTGACTCTAAAGATGAAAAAAACATGGGCTGGGGCTGTAGCTCAATGGTATAGTGCCAGACTCACATGTATGAGGCACTGGGTTCAATCCTCAGCACCACCTAAAAATAAGTAAATAAAGATATTGTGTCCACCTACACCTAAAAAAAAAAAAAAAATTAAAAATAAAATACAAAAAAGGGCTGGGGATGTGGCTCCATGGTTAAGTGTCCCTGGGTTAAATCCCAGATACCAAAAAAAATCAGCCATAGGAAATTTCCTAGAAAATGAACCATGAGTGAGTGTGTAACTGATGTGATTCTGCAATTTGTATTTGGGGTAAAAATGGGAGTTCATAACCCAATTGAGTCAAATGTATGAAAGATGATATATCATAAGCTTTGTAATGTTTTGAACAACCAATAAAAAAAAAAAAAGAAAGAAAGAAAATGAACCATGAAACTGGAGACAGTGGAAGAGCTAAGGATCCCAAAGGTACCAGAAGTGAGCATTTGGAAGTGGATCCTCCAACCCAACCAATCTTACTAGTGCCACATGACTAAAAAAGACAAACCACCCAAGCATACCGGTCCCTAATTTATAATCCACAAAATTGTACTGGGGTAGGGAGCGGGAGCATGGGAGGAATAGATGAACTCTAGATAGGGCAGAGGGTTGGGAGGGAAAAGTGGGGGGGCAGGGGGTTAGCAAGAATGGTGGAATGTGATGAACATCATTATCCAAAGCACATGTATGAAGATACGAATTGGTGTCAACATACTTTATATACAACCAGAAATATGAAAAATTGTGCTGTATATGTGTAATAAGAATTGTAATGCATTCCGCTGTCATTTTTTTAATCAATAAAAAAATTGTGAGCAAATAAAATGACTGTTTAAATGTCTATGTTTTGATGTAGTTTGTTATATAACAATAAGTAACTGAAGTACCATCCTAATAATGAGCCTGTGCTGTTATTAAAAATGCCACTCTGGGGTTCGGGATATAGCTCAGTTGATAGAGTACTTGCCTCACATGCACAAGGCCCTGGGTTCAATACCAGGCACAATTAAAAGAAATAAAATAAAAAGCCCCTCCTCCTTTCAAATTTGGGGGGATAAATTCCACAAATATATTAGCTCTCATTATCAGGAAAAGAGACAGCCATGTAGGCATATCTTCACTTATTACCTTTTGATATGTCTACTGGAGCAGAGCCAATCCTATCATAGTACTTAGAACAATGCTAGGAACCGAAGCAACAATTACCAAATTTTGTAATCTCCCCATACCAGTCCATGATGATGACATGGTTCTTATATTTGGTGAAGCAAATTTTCAAAGCCTACTGATCTACCTAGTCAGTAAAACATCCTATAATATAGAAACAAAATTTTTACTGCCAAAAAAAGGCTGAGGATATAGCTCAGTAGTAGCACACATACTTTCCACGGGTGAGGACCTGCGTTCAAAACCCAGGAAAAAAAAATATTGCTAAAGAGTCTTTCCTTTTTCTATCTATTGACAAATTAAGGAAACCACTAAAATAGCTTTGTGAAACCTGCTAATGGAACAAAACTTTGGGCGACAAAAGACTAGATAGCAATAAAAATACTTAAATATACTGAAAACAAAAACAATTCCTTTAAAAAATAAAGTCTATTAGGATCATGTCAAAGGAATTCAGAAGACAACTTGAAGGATGTCCCCTTTAGTCAAATGGGACAATTTGAATATCTATAAGGACAACGACTATAATGGACTAAAATATATCAAATCTACAAATTCTTAACTATACTAAAAAACAAATTTCACTGGTAACTTTTGGAGTATGCTAGGGAACTAAGCAAAATAAGCAAGCATTGCTTTCCTAATCAAACAGCTGATGATAGAAATTTCTCTTTATAGGTATATTTCAACTAATAAATGAAAAAAAAATGATAGAATATCAGCAATTTTCAATCCCCCCCCAAAAAAATTTAATAGGTCTGAGCACAGTAGCTTTAATCCCAGCAACTCCAGAAGCTAAAGCAGGAGGATCACAAGTTCAAAACCAGACTCGACAATTTAACAAGGTCCTAATCAACTTAGCAAAAACCTGTCTCAAATGAAAAATAAAAAGGACTGGGGATATAGCTCAGTGGTAAAGCATCCCTGGTTTCAAACCCCAGTACCATCCTCCAAAAAAACAATGAACAGACCTAGGCAATACGCATCAATAGCTACTAATATAACAAAAGAGCCCTTCTAGTTAAAACTACATTATATCATTCATGAAAAAAAATGGGGGTCCCACTTCAAGAAACAAACCTAACTCATATATAATCAGCCCTCTAAATACAATTACCAGTTTACATGAAATATTTGAGACAGAAAGACATATTAACATTGATGGAAGCAATGAGTAATATCCAAACCAATGTGAAATTCTGCATATAAATCACCTTGTTTCTTCAGTAAATTAATGTTAAGGAAAAGAGAGAGATACAGATAAAGAGAAATCTAGAAAATGAAAGAATAAGTACCACTTTTCAATACCCAGACCTAATTTAGACCGTGATTCAATTTACCAAAAACAATTTACAAAAAAATAAGGGAAATGTGAAAACTGAAAGGCTATTCTTCGATATTAAGAAATTATTACTGGGGGCTGGAGATGTGGCTCAAGCGGTAGCACGCTCGCCTGTTATGCGTGTGGCCTGGGTTCGATCCTCAGTACCACATACAAATAAAGATGTTGTGTCCGCCGAAAACTAAAGAATAAATAAAAAATTCTCTCTCTCTCTCTCTCTCTCTCTCTCTCTCTCTCTCTGTCTCTGCTCTCTCTCTTAAAAAAAAAAAGAAATTATTACTTCTTTGGGTGTGATAATGGTAGTATGATTATGTTTTAAGAAAGAAGTCCTGATTTTTTAAATATACACACTAAAGCAAGCACAGAAATACTAAGGTTAAAGATTGTGTCAAAATACTCTGGAAGGAAGATGAAAGAGAACAATCAAGATGAACAACAAATACTTATAATTTTCCTTAATTAAAAGGAACATGCAGTTCATTGTACTTCCAAACACTGTATTTTTTTTTCATGTGTTCTTTCCTTAAGTACACTTTCATTTACCTTACTTAACATAGCTACTAGAAGTTAGGAAGATATAGTACTTTATGAAGAAAAACTAAGAATTCAAGTATAAACCGAACTTAATCATAAGAAAATAACTGCTTTAGGCACAAAAACAATGTAGGTATTATTGCCTAATGAAATGGTATTTTTACCAAGATACCAAAATTGACCCCTATATGTACAAACACACACACACACACACACACACACACACCCCAAGAAGTACACTCACCACTTTCCATCTTTCTTTTACTAGGATTCCAACACTGAGGATATCCGACTGCTCTCCTCCCCCACTCATTGCAAAACACTGATGTGGTAGAACAGCTACACAGGCATCTAGCTCCCAAGGATGGTTTCCATTTAACCTAAAACAAAAGAAATAGTAACATATCAGGGCTAATTAATCCACACAACATTTCAATATCAAGAAGGCTGGGGTTGTAGCTCAGTGGCAGAGCGCTTGCCTAGCATGTATGAGGCACTGGGTTCGATGTCTCAGTACTGCATATAAATAAATAAAATAAAGATCCATTGACAACTAAAAAAAAGCACCAGTTGGGACTGCAAATTGGTGCAGCCAATTTGGAAAGCAGTATGGAGATTCCTTAGAAAGCTGGGAATGGAACCACCATTTGACCCAGCTATTCCCCTTCTTGAACTATACCCAAAAGACCTAAAAAGAGCATACAACAGGGACACAGCTACATCAATGTTCATAGCAGCACAATTCACAATAGCTAGACTGTGGAACCAACCTAGATGCCCTTCAATAGATGAATGGATAAAAAAAAAATGTGGCATTTATACACAATGGAATACTACTCAGCAGTAAAAAAATAACAAGATCATGGCATTTGCAGGGAAATGGATGGCATTAGAGCAGATTATGCTAAGTGAAGTTAGCCAATCCCTAAAAAACAAATGCCCAATGTCTTCTCTGATATAAGGGGTGTGACTCAAAATAGAGTAGGAGGAAGAGCTTGAGAAGAAGATTACCACTAAATAGGGAAGAGAGGTGGGAGGGAACAGGAGGGAGAAGGGGAATTGCATGGTAGATGGAAGGAGACCCTCATCGTTATACAAAATACATGTATGATGATGTGAGGGGGAAGAAAAAAAAGAGAGAGAAATGTGTCACAGTAGATTGGGTAGAGAGAAGTGATGGGAGGGGAGGGGAGGGGAGGGGGGGATAGGAAGGGCAGCAGAATACAATAGACACTAGTATTGCTGTATGTATATACATGGCCATATAACCAATGTGATCCTGCAACCTGTACACGTGGAAAAATGAGAATTCATACCCCATTTGAATCAAATGTATGATATGTCAAGATCATTATATTAATAATATAATATATATCAATTAATTAAAAAAAAGCACCAGTCTTATACATTAAGTAGAAAGCCTTGTTGGAAAGGGGGGAAATGCCTCACAAAGTATTCCAAAAGTTGTTTAATGCATATCTTAAAAAGCACATTATTTTTTTACTATAGATTTCCAGACATTACAAAGACACTGTTACAACACAAACATTATTTACAATAACTGAGATTGCTAGACTAAAGAGCAAGCATGGGGTCGATGGCATTTGACCCAAATAGACTACTATCTTGAATGCAACATACTGTGAAAAAGACACAGTACCTAATCTACAACAGTTTATAGTTTGCTAGGTTGTAACACAGTTACCTTAACATCATTAGAGCTATTCATTTTTGTTCTTGTTGATAAACAGTATGCCTTTATTTTATTTGTTTTATTTTTATGGGATGCTGAAGATGGAACCCAATGCCTCACACCTGCTAAGCAAGCACTCTTTGTCACTCAACTACAGCCCCAGTCTGAGCTAATCATATTTTAATGTTACAAAATGCACTTAAATGAGAGCTAGAGATATAGCACAGTTGGCAGAGTGCTTGCTTCGCATACACAAGGCTCTGGGTTCAATCCCCAGCACCACATACACACACACACACACACACACACACACACTAAGAAAATGCACTTAAATGCACAGGAAATAAACATGAACACAGAAATGTACTTTTGGTCAAACAATGAAAGGAGAACAATAGTGAAAAGAATAGCATACCTGCAGAAAATGAAAAGATAGAAATACACAGCCTAAAGGAGATGAAAACTAAGCTAGTCTAGGAATTAGAGATTAATTAGAATGATTTTCAGGAAATATTGTTCAATAGAAAAAAGCAAGATGCAAGTAAAGGGTTTGTGGTATGCTTCCTTTTATGTAAAAGGAAAGTAAATGTTGAGTAAAATATTTGCTTTTATCCATTTATTTAATATATTTTATTTATTTATTTATTTTTATGTGGTGCTAAAGATCAAACCTAGTGCCTCATACATGCCAGGCCAGCACTCCACCATGAGCCACAACCCTAGCTGTATTTGCTTTTATTTTTAAAAAAGAAAAAAAAGTCAAAAACTGATGAAAATTATTCTCCCTAAGAGGATTAGGCAAACTTTTTCAGTAAAGGGCTAGAAAACAAATATTTTAGGCTTCACAGGACCTATATATTCACTGTAATAGCTACTCAACTCCACCACTAAAACACAAAAAGAAGCCATAAAAAGCCTGGCAGTGGTGCACTCCTGAAATCCCAGCAACTTGGGAGGCTGAGGCAGGATTATAAATTTGAGACTAGCCTCAGCAACTTAACTACTCTTTCTTAAAATAAAAAGGACTGGGGGTGTGACTCAGTGGTAAAGCAACCCTGGGTTCAATTCCAGTACCAAAAATTAAAAAAAAAAAAAGCAAAAAACAATATGTAAACAAATAAGTTTACATTTGTGTGGGGGGGGGGGTGTGGGAGGTTGGTCAAATCTGATCTGCAAACTGTTATTTAACAACATTTACTCAACAGAAAGGGAGGGTAGGGAGAGGATGAAGAGTATTAAAGATGGAAGCCAAACATGAATATACCTTGTAATACAGTTTTTATTTTGGAACTATGTAAATGTTTTGTATATGATAAAAAAAATCCCTATACTCCAAATTCAAAAAAACAATATAGGAAATGATCATGGAAACTGGATTTAAACATAGCTTGGTGGCACATGCCTGTAATTTCAGAGACTGGGGAGGCTGCAGCAGGAGAATCACAAGTTCAGGGCCAGCTTCAACAACTCAGCAAGACCTTGTCTCAAAATAAAAAATAAGGGCTGGGGATATTATTCAATAGTAGAGTTTTCCTAGGTTCAGTCCATAGTACCAGAAAATAAATAAACTAACCAACCAATCAAATAATGATAATAGCTTCGAAAGAATGATTAACATTCAGAAAGTCAACCAATCAATAACAGCCACACTTCATAACCACACTTGCATAATACAAGGTCATTCTATGCCTAAATTCTTCTGTCTTATCAATCACTGAACACAATTCCCAAATCGAATACATTAGCAGTTTGCTTCATTCAGAAAAAGCATGCCCTACAGTCACAGCTATCTCTGCATAGCACACAACAAATTTACCATTTTGTTCAGATATTGAATAGTGACACCTGAAAAATAGTGAAAATGCAAAATTAAACCAAAAAAATTTTAAAAACACTAAAAATGGAAGGTGTAAAATTTCTAAAAATTTAAAATAAACCCAAACCCATTGCTTACCAAGTTTGTTCCATAATCACATAGAAAATAATTGTTTCAAGTGGCTTTAAAATACAGTATTTTGGCCAGGCGTTGTGGCACAGGCCTATAATCCCAGCAGTTTGAGAGGCTGAGACAGGAGGATCACACATTCAAAGCAAGCCTCAGCAATTTAGCAAGACCCTAAGCAATTTAGTAAGACCCTGTCTCTAAATAAAATATAAAAAAGGGCTGAGGATGTGGCTCAATTGAACATGCCCCTACGTTCAATTTCTGGTACCTAAATAAATAAATAAAATATAGTATTTGATTGTTGTTGAGAGCCACAGCTGAAGGGGCCCCAGCAAACTTCCAGCTGCCAGCAAACTTCCAGCTGCCGGCTGATGATTGGCTCACAGCGGCCCCAGCAACATCTAGCTGATTGGCTCCTAGGCCCCAGCAACATCTAGCTGATTGGCTCCTCTGCGGTGATGCTCATTGGGCTGTTTCCCTGCCCTTTCAGACCACGGAGCTGCTCACTGGGGGACTTTTTTGGCTCCGCCCATGTGACCCAGCCAATCGGCCTCAAGAGCAGGAGGATTGTGGGAGGTGGGGAGAAGCTTGTGTGGGAGAGAGAGGCTTGTGGAAAGCCGGTGGTGGCAGTTGAGGCTCTGAGGGTTTTTCCTGAGAGGCTGTTTTGTTTGGCGTGTGTGGTTCTAAAAATAAAGTTAGTTTCTTTTGACAAGTGGCTCCTGATTGTGCCCAGCCAGACTGCGGCAGATTGTACATCCCACTGGAAAATATCTTAGGAAATAAATGAACCATAAAGAAATCTTAAGGCTAGAGGGCATAGATCAGTAGTAAAATGCTTGCCTAGCAAGTGCGAGGCCCTAGGTTTGATTCCCAGGGGCTGCAAAAGAAAAAAGAGAAAGAAAACTTAAAAACTGCAGTTAGCAGAAGACGCCATCAAAAGCCTACCAACCAAGAAAATCCCAAATTCAAAGCTGAGTCCTACAAAATCTACAAAGAAGAATTAATATCATATTCCTCAAATTATTCTGTGAGATAAAAAAGGAAGGAACCCTTCCAAACTCATTCTACGAAGCTAGTATCACCCTGATACTAAATCAGGCAGACACACATCAAGGAAAGAAAATTTCAGACCAATATCCCTGATGAACATTGATGCAAAAATTGTTAATAAAATTCTGGCAAATCAGGCAGGGGCTGAGGTTGTGGCTCAGTGGCAGAGCATTTGCCTAGTATGTATGAGGCACTAGGGTTTGAGTCTCAGCACCACATAAAAATTAATAAAATAAAGGTCCATCAACAACTAGAAAATTTTTTTTTAATTCTGGCAAATTGCATACAAAAACATATTTAAAAAATAGTGCACCATGGTCACATGGGGTTCATTCCAGCAATGCAAGGTTGGCTCAACATATGGAAATCAATAAATATAATTCATCACATCAATAGACTTAAAGATAAGAATTATATGATTATATCAACTGATGCAAAGAAAGCATTTGACTAAATACAGCACCCTTTCATGTTCAAAACACTAGAAAAACTAGGGATAAAAGGAACAACATTGTGAAAGCTATCTATGTTAAACCCAAGACCAACATCATTCTGAATGGAGAAAGATTAGAAGCATTTCCTCTAAAAACTGGAACAAGACAGGGATGCCCTCTTTCACCATTTCTATCCAAAATAGTCTTTGAAATCTAGCCAGAGCAATTAGATAGAAATTAAAGGGATTAATTTAGAAA